TGGAGGTCTGCTGTTTTCTTCTGAGCTGAGGTGGGGGAAGGGCTTGGGTCCTGCTGGGCCACAGCTTTAGTATGTTACCCTGTTCCCTGAGGTCTGCTCTTTTCTCTAGGTGTATGCAGTCTGGCACAGTCCTCTTTCCTGTTGCTCTTTCAGGATTTGTATTAATTATATTTTCGTATTATCTGAGGTTTTAGGATGAAGCCTCTGGCTCACCTCTCACTCTGCCATCTTTAATCCAGTCTCCCCAGCCTACCTCTTAAGTGCCCAGATGATGATAAGGTCTTTTGTCCTTTGCTTGATAATCCGTTTTCTAAATAAGGTAGCTGCACTGAATCCCATCAATGTACTTTAATTTGCGGTAAGAAGAAAACAAAGTCTACAATTTGCAACAACATGGATGGAGCTACAGGATACTATGCTCAGTGAAATAAACCAGGCAGAGAAAGACAAGTATCAAATGATTTCACTCATATGTAGAGTATAAGAACAAAGAAAAAACTGAAGGAACAAAACAGCAGCAGACTCAGAGAACCCAAGAATGGATTAACAGTTACAGAAGGGAAAGGGACTGGGGAGAATGGGTGGGAAGGGAGGGATAAGGGGAAAAGGGGGCATTACGATTAGCACACATAATGTAGGTGGAAGGACACAGGGAAGGCAGTATAGCACAGAGAAGACAATTAGTGATTCTATAGCATCTTACTATGCTGGTGGACAGTGACTGTAATGGGGTATGTGATGGGAACTTGATAATGAGTGGAATCTAGTAACCACAGTGTTGCTCATGTAAGTGTGTATTAATGATACCAAAATAAAAAAATAAATAAAACTAAAAATAAAAGGATGAAAGCAAAAAAAAGATACATACTTTCATTCACTGTTAAAGCTGGTTAGGCTAACACAGTAAGAAGGAACACAGGATTTGAAATCAGATAAGCTTGGACCTGAAAAGTGACTCTGCCATTTAGTATTATAATATTACATATTAAAGAAATTTTTTTATAATATGTTTGTTGAAGAGGTGAGGCTTAGAACCTCCCCCCGCCTGTTTTGAGAGAAATCTTCTGCATGCGTGGATGTTTTATTGCCTTTGTCTAGCTTGGATTAACACATAGTCTACAGGCACACACCTGATCATCTACATTTGCTCTCTTACAACACTAAACTGTTTTCTACCTTTATCTTGTATCTACCTACTACCTCAGCATTTTATTAAAAATAATAATAATAAAGAGAAATGTGGTATCCACATATAAATCAAGTATAAAAATNCACTATGTAAGAATTTGTTCTCCATGTAAGAACTTGTTCGTTACGCTTCAGAAGATTGGAGACTGACGAAAATTGGGCTTGGGGTGGATTAAGGATTGTGCATTGAGCATTGACCCCCCTATACAGAATTTTGTTGTTCTTAGCAACCATTTGATCAATAAATATGAGAGATGCCCTCACACAAAAAAAAATACACACACACTTCCAATTGTAAAATAAATAAGTAACCGGGATGTAATGTATAGCATAAGGAATATAGTCAAAATATTGTAACAACTTGGTATGGTGATAGCTGGTACCTAGAATTATCATGTATATAAATGTTCAATCACTGTGTTGTACACCTGAAACTAATGTAATACTGTGTGTCAACTACCCTTCAATAAAAAATAATTATCTAAAATAACAAAAAGATTGCTATGAATTTTGAAGAAAAAAAATATGTTTGTTGAGATATAATTCCCACACATTACAATTCACCGATGTAATGTCTACAACTCAGTGGTTTTTAGTATATTCAAAAAGTTGTGCTACTATCACTATAATCAATTTTGAAACATATCATTCCAAAAAGAAACATCACACACTTTAGCCATCATTCCACCTCCTCATACCCCTGATCTTGAGGCAATCACTCTTCTGCTTTCTCTCTCACTGGATTTGACTGTTCTGGACTAGTGTATAAGTGGGTCCTTTAGTGTGGGACTCCTTACCTCTGTATGCTATGTTGTAGCATGTTTCAGTACTTCATTAATTTTTATGGCTGTATAATATGCCATTTATACCACATTTTGTCTATCCACTCATCATTTGATGGTCACTTGGGTTTTTCTGACTTATTGGCTTTTAGAAAGATTTCTTTGAATTTTATGTGGACATAGGGTCTCATTTCTCTTAGGCTTATACTTTGAAATTTCTGGGTTTTATATTAACACTATGTTTAACCCTTTGAGGAACTGCCAGGCTGTTTCCCAAAGTGGCTGCATCATTTTACTCCCCCACCAGCAACAAATGAGGGTCCCAGTTTCTTCTCATCCTTAAACAAACGCTATTATTTGTATTTTTGATTATTGCCATTCTAGTGGATGTGAAGTGGTATCTTACTGTGTTTCTGATGTACACTTCCCCAGTGACCAATGATGCTGAACATTTTTTCATGTGCTTAATGAACATTTGTATATTGTTTTTGGAGAAATGTGTATTCAGATCCTTGGCCCATTTTTTCATTTCATTGTCTCTGTATTATCACAGTTCTTTGTATATTGTAGATATAAATTCCTTATCAAATATATGCACATATATTTGTAAATATTTTCTCTTATTCTGTGGGGTTTCATTTTCTTGATATTCTTGAAATACAGAATTTTAAAATTTTGATGAGGTTTACTTTATCTGTTTTTTTTTTCTTGTGTTTTTTGTGTCATACCTAAAATCCTGGTTTTGTCAAATCCGAGGTCATGAAGATTTGTCCCTATTTTTTCTCCTAATAGTTTTATGTTTTCAACTCATAGTTTGGTCATTGGTCAGTTTTTGAATTTTTTGTTATGTGTTGTGATAGACCAGAGTCTGACTTCATTCCTTTTTGTGTTTCTATCCAGTTGTCCCAGCACCATTTGTTGGAAAGACTATTCTTTCCTCATTGAATGATTTTGGCACACTTGTAAAATATTAGTTGACCATGGACAGTGGTTTTATTTCTCGACTGTCATACTGTCTTGATTACTGTTTTGTAGTAAGTTTTGAAATTGGGAAGTGTGAATCTTCCTACCTTGTTTTGTGTTTTCAATATTGTTTTGGCTATTCCAAGTCCCTGGATATAGTATTACTTACAAGTTATGGTACTTTTCTAAGCCTCAATTTCATCATCTGGGAAGTGGAGATAATACCCACCTTACGGTAGTATTTTAAGGATGAAGTGTTCCTATGTAATAAAGGATGATACTATGTAAAATGCTTGACACATGCTTGTCATATTATAAGTATTCGATAAGTAGCAATGTCTCTGATTACTTGCCAAACATATTTCTTTGATCATTTAACGAAGGCCTTGTCCAAACCAGACAGAAGTGTAGACACAGTGCTAACACCCCGCTGGAATAAGACAGTGGATTCAAATGAGACTTCTTTTTCATATCACTTTATTTATAAATAGTTTCTCAAAATGAAAGGGTGGCTTTTTTTTTTTTCTTTTTTAAGACTTGTGTTTTTCTATATCCCAGCTTTCTCTGGAGCAACTCATTCACTGAGACCCTGAGCATTGGCAGACTGCTTAGAGCATGTATCTGCAGACTTGAGTTGCTGATTTGAACATACCTGCAGTGGAGACCAACTGTCACCTGGTAGTACCTAAAGAACAGTCAAAATAGTATCTTTAGAATTATAGAAACTTTTTGAGTGGTATGGAATTTGGAATGTTTTTTCTTCTATTTAGTCCAAATCTACTTCTTTCCACCTACCTCTGGAGATGGCCTCTGAAAATCTATTAACTCACACACTCAGAATCTTATTAAGTGTCTTTATGAGTAAATGTTAGTCAGTTTTGTAAATAAACCTTGAAAATTTCAGAATTTGATCAGTTTACGCTGTCCAGTAAGAAAAGACTAAAGGAGTTTGTATGCTTTGTGCTGTTAGTTCAGAATAAAGCATTACCTGTTGTAAGTATCTGCTTGCTTAACGACTTGCCAAGATGAGCTAGAAGTAAATTTAGGCTTGTTTTAATTCTAGTCCAAATTACTCCCTCTGCCAAGGAAACTTACTAAACTGAGTATGCTCACTCAGTTGGTACATGAGGCTCTCTCAATAGTGAGGCAGATCAGGATGTCGGTGAGTGGCAAGGAATAGTGACTTGTGGGGAGCATAGTCAGTGTATGTAAGGAAGTAGTAAATTCTGAGCTGATAGCATTTACATGAATTGGATGGCTTTTATTTTATTCCATAGAGTTGCATCATAATCCAGGTGAAGTGGGCTGGGCTTGTATACAGCCAGCTTTTCTTTTTAATCTAAATTAAACCTATGTGAATGGAATGGAAAAAAAAAATGCCCTCTGCTGTGGGGCAATGGTGGCAGTGAGGATGAAGGACTCAGTACTGTTTGTTGAGTCACTCCCAAAATAAAAAGGTCTCTCTCACCCTCCCATTTTGTGCCCTCTCTCTAATGCTGCCTCTCTTAAGATGTCAATGTTGGGGATGCTCCACCTCTGCTCCCCATTTATTCTTTTGGTATTGGGGATTCCTATGTCTCTGGATTTGGAAGCCTAAGGAATAAGCTGCTCCTTGGGATTGACTCCTCAGAAGGGCATCCCCTTCACCTTCTCCATGAAACAGCATTGATCAACCCTTTGTCCTTTGAACTCTCCCATCTTCCCACTGACTGAAGACTTTCCCCAGCCTGTTAAGGGTCCGTTGTTGGCAGGCTAACTTGGGATAAGGCTGAGTGGTCCTTTCTCCTTCAGGAATCTTTCTTTTTCCAACTGCTATTCTCTTCCTCTCCCAACCTCCAGTGCCTGACCCCCAACACCCCAGGCTTTTCCCTTCCTCACCCTCCTTTCCCATTCAAACTTACTCAGCTCTAACTGCCTAACTAGAGATGCAAAAGTGAAATCTCTGGCTGCTTGGGCCTTCCCTCCTTCTTGACATTGATGTTCATGTGAGTTTGGATTAAAGCAGCCAGGAATGCAGCCCACTGTTGTCTAGCAGTCTAATTTTTTCTTCTTGCTTCTCCCGTACAGGCAAAGAAGAGGAAAAGAGCAGAGCGCTTTGGGATTGCGTGATGAGAAAGCTGCTTGATGCTTTCTGTTATCCAGTGGTTTCCAGCTCTCTGGCTCTTCTTGGCCACATATATACCTGAATGCAGAGTCCTGTGCCTAGGTCCTGCCTTGCAATGAGGGAGCGTGTACCCAGGTACATCCGTGAGCTCCAGCAGCGATCTGACTAACTGCTGTGCCGGCTCTAGAGTGGTCGCTGTTGATTGTGTTGTTTATTATTATTTTGCTTGTTAATAAAAAAACAAATAGAAAAGAGAACAATGTGTTTTATTAGGCCCTCCTTTGAGTTCTTAGAGCCAGATTAGACCAGATAAGGGGAGCTTCAAGGATAAATATTATAGGGAATTAGCCATAATGCCTGTATCTTTTAGAAAAGAGAACAGAGAGAAGGATTGGATCTATCCCGTTACGCATATTGATTGCCTTCTCATACTTCAGGTGTCCTTTTACCTCTTTATCCCCCATGAAGAGGCCAAGTTTCACCCTGAATCTTCACCTCCGCAGGTTGGCATAACCCATTGGGATAAAATAGAACACACGGTTTTAGGAGGTGCAGAGGTTATAAAAACAGGGGCTAATGATTGGTAGTCCAGAGCCCTATTCTGGAGTCCACAAGGGCCCTATTTTCAAGGATGACCTGATATGATAATGTCTGGCTTCAGCCAAAACCAGTGTTGATTGTACATTTCAGGAAAGGAGATAAGCTAGCTACCTGCTTAGAGGAGAAAGTTTAGGGATTCAAGGCCTGACAGGATGTCAGAAGTGGGAAGCATTGTTACCTGGATCATTGGAACATAGGCAGTGCACTGGAGGCTTCTGTTTTCCAGTCAAGCCCTGGCCTAGTTTGTCTTCTATTGCAGAGATGTACCATCACAGTTCTGCTGGCAGTGGTTCTTAGATACTTCGAAAGTGTTTTCCTTGCTGAGCCTCCTTCTTAGAAGTTTGGCTCTCCCTAAGTAGGCTGTTTGTTTGCATCTGAAGTTTCACATAGATTAGGGACATGCTGCTTACTCTTTTTTGGATGTGTTGCTACAGTGTTTCTCCTTTTAATCTTCATTTAAATTTTTGGACGTCTATGTAAAGTTCGTTTGTTTTTTTGGGTGTGTTTTTTTGGCGGGGGTGGTTATTAAACCTAAAAGCCTGCATCTTACCTGAACACTTTGGTATCATGATCAGATTCCATGTTGGTGTGTGATGCCTTGTTCCCATTTCTACTAAAACTTTCTGCTTGGTTCTGTGATTAATATAAAGTTAATAATTTGAACCCCTTCCTAACAAGAATTCTCTTTCCACAAAGTCTCTGGTTGCTAAGGAGGACAGATACCTAAGTTTAGATACTTTAGGAAAACTGCGCTTTGGAGAGCAGATCCAAAGATTGTCCCATTTGTTGAGAAATTTTTCCCATCCTGAGATTTTGGGGAAATGAATAAAATGAAATGCTGGCTAAACTTCTCCTTTCCTCTCTTCCTCCAGCCTCTTCTGTCTGCCTCCCTTTTCTTTTCTCCAGGCCCTGATCTTGAGCCTAGCTTTTCCTCTCTCTGCTCTATCTCTATGTGAAAACAGAACCAGAGAGAATTAGTTTTGAGGCTTGGGAAAGATTATAGTAGACTCAGTAAAGGTTTTCTACCCAAAGATGATAAAAATAAGTAGGTAAAGGAATAGAGCAAATGCTGGTAATGACATGGAACACTAGGTCCTTCAGAACTTTTTCCCCTTGGTTTCCTTATCCTCTATAACCTTCCAGAAAGGTATTCAGCCTTCCCCCAAGGATTCTTTCCCTGAAGCTTAATCATTCTTTTCCTGCTCAACTCACTTCTGCAGTCTTTGTGATACAGTGTTTATGACTTTTTGCTAACTTTATTTTTATCCCAATCTAGCAGCTGTTCTTACAAAAGTTTCTTAACTCTCAGCCTGATCACCAAACCGTCTTCCTGTCTCATTGTAATCATTCCACACATACTTTTTGAGCATGAGTAGTTCAGAATGCCTATCTTTTTTACTAACTCTGTCTTAAAATAGTCCCTTGAAGGCAGAACAGGCTACCAGTTATCTGGGATGCAAGTACCCTTCCTTCCTATCCGTCCATTTCCTTAGTGTAGGTGTTCGAGGATCCAGAGGTGTTAGCTGACTTGACTCTTCTTTTCCCTGTCCTGAAGCTGTGACATTTTCTGCATACCTGAAAGCTCCAAATAAGGGAGTCCATGAAAGATACTGAGGGAAGTAGCTTCCTCAGCTGCAGATCTGCACCTTTTTGTGGTTCTCTAGGGTCATTCTTTTTAATCCACTATCATTCTATTCTAAACTGTCCCTCCCTTATCCCAACTTCTGGACTTTTGAAGATAAAAGACTAGAAGCTTCCATGGGGGTGAGGGCTGTAGAAAGAAGTGGCTAAGAGCAGGACTTGTTGGTGCTGGGTCCCTTTGCCATGTTGGCTGTGAGATGGATGAGAGGGCAGGAAGCAGCCTGTGTGTAAGTAAGGAAGAGTAGCTGCTTTTCCCTGTTGTCATCTGTGAGTGCTTCTGACAGGTAACATCACTCACTTCTGATTACAAAAGCTAACCTCCCCCTCTGTTTCATGTCCACATTCTTGTTTTTCCCTCCTAAAGGATTGAAAAATAATGGCAGGTTTCAACACCTTTGCAGACCCTTTAAGCCCAAGGTGCCCCCTCGCTTTCTCTTTCTTTGTGAATTGTCCCTTCCTTTAATTTTCCACCTCTCACATTCCTATTACTTGAATAATTATAATGGAATATTGTGTAGCAACTTTGTTTTACTGCACTTGCTCTTGAGACCTTGTGCAAATTACTTAATCATTGTGACTTTTCCAGAGACTTCGTACTAACAGCAACCCTGTTGTGAAGGTTGCTGTGAGAATTGATAATATATTATGTACTCAGCACACTTTACTTATCATAGTTTGCATAGTAATTGTTCAATAAATATTAGCTCTTAATTTTACTAGATGGTTTACAGTAGAAGTATTTTCTTCCCCCGAATAGGTTCCAGCTGCAGTGGGAGTAAGGGCTGCTGAGTGGACTAGTTTGAGCATATGTATATGTGTGCTCACATATTTGCACGTCCATTTGGGGGTTCAGAGAGTGGGAAGAAGTGGGAGGAGTCCCAGTGGCTTTCTTACCCCCTGCTCTCTTGCAAGAAAGCTGATGTTGTGTCCTGGGGCCTCACTGCAGTGAAGCTGTGAAGGCCACTGCCTGCTGAGTCTTACCTGGGGCCCCCAACAGCCAAAAAATGGGCAGAGACAGTGTAGGATAGCTACTCATACCACCAGGTTGGAGGATGTTTGCAGATAAAAGTTTCTTGCAGCCCCTTCTGGGTGTTCTCTCAACGTAGGACATAATGAGCAATAGTGGGAGGAAACCTACTTTTAGCTCCGACCGGAAGCTGCCGGTAGGTGTGGATAAAGCAGCTCCTTTACAAGGAGGTTACTGTATGTAGCACTTTCCTCTCAACTTCGGTCTTGTAGTTGGTCTGAGGTGGGGTCAATCTGATAGAACTGACGTGACAGGGTAAGTGTGATGGCACACTGAGATCCTCAGTGGTCCTGCTCCCCATTCTCGTTCAGGCTGATGTCACAGTTTTTTAAAAAATGTGTCAGGCAAGATTACTTTGCTACTCCCAACTCTTCAATGCACTGAAAGTGTGCTCTAGGTACATGGGATAAGTTTTTATGGTAGAATCAAAGAATACCAGAGATGCTTAACCACTCTTGGTACACTGGCCAGTTGAATGGCTATGTTGGTCTGGTTTGTGGACTTTGGTGAAACTTCGATGAGGAAACCTGGGATCAGGGAACTGCAGGAGAACAGGATAGACATGAGCTGGAGCATCTCAAGAGAACTTTTAGATCATCTGTTCCGTGGGGGCCAGGTTTTTGTGAGTTTGGGGACTGTTGGATTCAGGTCCCCAGGGAACAGTTGCTCTAGGTCCCCTCCCTCTCCACCCTCCCTGGAGCTGCACGTCCCAGCCCTCATCCCTGAGGCCCCTGAATTTTCCCCTTGCTCCAAAGACCCATCTTACTAGTCTGTGAGCACAGGTTTCATCCTTTCTCAGACCCTCTGAGGCCCCTGGTCTCCGAGGTGTTGCTTAGGGAGAAGAGCTCAGCACTGAATTCTAAACTCTTTGACTGCTTTTATTTTTCTTTTTTCAGGTTCAAGTGCTGGATTGTGTCATGTGACCACCCCAAAACTCAGAGCACTCTATGGCCATCTTTGCCCTCTGTCACATAACTTGAAAACTGCCTGATAGCCTTTTTGCAATGGTTCCCTCCAGGAAGCCTTGATCTCAGTGAAGAAGTCCTTTCCCAACATTCCAGTCCCCTTGCCAGCCCCATACTCCTCTGACACCCTTAACAAAGGCAATCACACAGTGTAACAAAATACACAAAGTAAATAATCATTACATTAATCATGGTTGGAGGGGCACTGGCCATGTCCACACATAAGGTGGGAAGTGGGGGCTCTAGTTCCCACTAGGTTGCTGGGCTGTTCCCCCAAGCCTATACCCCATTCCTCTGGGGGTGGAGAGGACCAGGGGACTGAGACTTTAGCTTAGGGACTGACGTTCATAAGAGAAAGACCTTCCCCCAAAGGTTATTTGGTGGTATTAAAGGGTCATGTTCTAATGTCCCCAGATGTAATGCCCTACCTCTCTAGAATTTGTAGAGAGAAGTATCTGATGCCCTGTACCAAGATCAAGAGGCATGGACATGTGACCTCGAGAGAGTCATCTTCTGTTCTTCACTCTGTTCCTCTCCTTCCACCAAAGGAGTGTGCATGGTGTTGATGGTCAGGTGTGTCTTGTTCTCCAAGATTGGGGCAGGATGGGTGAAGAACAGGAGAGGAGAGGCTGGGGGTTATTTAGTACACTTGGTGTTTGGGAGGAGGTGAGGTGCAATGCTTTACAGCCCCTGCCCATTTATGTACTGAAATACTTCCTCTAATTTTTTCATTACGGGAATGGGAATAAGATGCTAAAGCTCACCGACATAATCTTCCTGAGGGTGGTCACATACCTTTGCCCTTTCCACCGACGGCCCAGGTGGGAGTCATGGTCTTGGGAAGAACAATCTTCTGGGTCACCTCTCCAGCTCGGGCTTTCTTTTCTGTTTTCATCAGACCCATAACTGCTGTCTTTACTTAGAGTGACAGTTTTGCTGAAGGTTCTTTCCCCCTCCTCTCCTGACCACCTCGAGGCTCTTGCTTGGAACCAAGAGGTTTGGTGGTGAGGTATTGTTGGGTGTGGATCAGGAGATTCTCAGTTCCTTGCCTTCAGGCACTATCAGCTGGGAGGCACAGGGGACCTTGTACTCGGAAGCCTTTGACTCCTCTAAGCCTCATCTCTTCACCACTACTCTGGTGCCCTGGTATCTGTCCCACAGCGAGAGGTATTTTATGTCCATAAAGTGCCCGTGGTAAGTGCTCAGAATTCATCTCTTGGCTGTGGTGGGTGCTGCTATTTCTCATTCCATCGAGGGGAAGAAACCGAGGCACACTGAGTCCAGAGGAGGTTGGGTTAGGATTGTAGGAGGAATGAGTAGTCCCAGCTGGGGACTGGGATTGGCAACCAGTCCCTAGCTGCTTTGTAGCCTTCCACACCAGGGAGCCTTCCAAACCAGGGAGCCTGTGTCCTTCCCATCCTCTGCTCTAACTGACCTTGTCAGATGTTTTTCCCCACTGTACTTCCCCCTCCCTGCTGCCAGGTACTGCTAGACTTAAAAAATAAAAGATAAAAATAATTATAGACACTCTGCTCCCTTGTTTTCCCCCCTTCCACCCTGAGCTTTAGGGTTGGGAGACTACATGTCCCCCTCCAGAATCCCTTCTGCCTTGGTCTGCTGGCTCTGCCCCCAGCCCAGAGCAGTGATTTGGGTTCAGATGCTCTCTAACCTTCAGCCTCTTTACTGCTCCTTTCTTGTGGACTTGGGACTCTGGGATCTCTGTGTTCTTCATATTGACCTGAAGATGGAGGCTGGAGCCGGCTCTTTGGTCTCTCCTGGCCTGGGGTTAGGTGCAGGCAGGCTACACCCTCTAGCTGAACACCTCAATACTCTGAGGGGGTGGATCTGAAGCTTAGTGTAGTGAGGTGCAGATCCTGGATATCAGGGTTCTCCCTACCCCACCCTCACCTCTTAACTGTTTTTGTGACCATTGGAATTCAGTTTAACCTGTTTGGCTCAGGAAGGTTTTAAGTAGGGTGATTATGGGTTGGAAACTACCATATGTTGGCCCTCTTGCCTTCTACTCCCATTCCCAACCCTGGAGGCTTTATACAAGTGCTTAAGTAGGCGGGTACTGTGGGAGAACAAGGATTTAGGGAATAAGGGAGTAATGGGGCACAGTGGGCAGGGTCCCTTTTCTAGTTCAGTAAAGCCAAATACCAAAACATGAAAAGTCACAATAAATAAATAAATAAAACTCCAAAAGCCTCACCTTTGCCCCTGTCCTCACTTCCCTTCTCCTGCCAGTGCTGGAGAGAGAGAGGGAGAAGCTTAAGAGTGAGTATTGATTTCCTCCTACCCAAACCATGCCAAGCCCCTCACCTTGCCATTGGAAAAAGGAGGCTTGGTGTGGGGCTCTTGCATTGCTTCATTTCAGTCTCTCTCATTGTCTCTGCCTAGTCTCTGTCTTCTGCCTCTCTATTCTTTGCCTTCTCACTGCTGCTTTTTTTGTTCCTTTGTCTCTATCCCTCTGCTCTGTCTCTACATCTCTCTCTGTCTTCTTGCCAAACGTTCTCACCTGCAACCTCAAAATGCTCCCCACCTGGCCATGCCCCTTTCTCTCCCCCATTTTCCCAGACCCCACCCCTCGGTGCCACCTGCCTCCCTCTGTTGTATTGCACACTGGGCAGGGAACAAGGTGTGATGTTCACAGGAAGAGGTAGAGGGAGCTCTGGGGCCTGGGGGAGTGGGGGTCAGGGCTGGGAGTCCAGGGGTAAGGTCTGTGGGGGGGAAATCCTCTGTCCCCCTTAGGAGCAGCCACAGCGATCCACCACCATGCCCGGGATCTTGCCATAGATGATCTGCTGCTTGTCATTGAAGTAGAGCATGTTGATTGGGGACATCTTGGTGGGGGTGCAACAGGGCCCAGCAGAGCCTCTCGGATTAGCCTGTTGCACCAGGTGGGTGTGTGGATACTTTTGCATGAACATATATTCGCACTGGCCGGAGCAGTAGTTGGCCTTGTAGCGTTTAGGCGCAATGATCCAGTCCCAGCCAAAAGCCTCAAAGTCCACAGTGAGGGGGTAGCGACAGCAGCGCGACTCACTCGAGTGCTCGTCGCAGTCCAGGCCCAGGTTCCGTCGGGACCGCTTTGTGTTCTCCAGGACTCGGAGCTCCATGAATGGGTGCTGGGTGAGGGAGAACAGAAGCAGCTGTGATATAGCCCTGAGGAGCTCCTACTCCAGCCTCTTTCTCAGCTGCCCATCCACAGGGACCAGAGACTGCTGACTGCTCTTCCACTGCACCCGTTCCCCAGCCTGTATCTTGTCACTTTTCTTGCCAGCTAGCTGTCTCTTCAACTCAACTTCCCTAATTTTCCTCTCCCAGAGACCTGACCTTCATCAGCCCCTGGGCCCAAGGCGTCATCAACAGTTCATTTTTGTGTTCTATGGATCTCCTGTCCACTCACACCTTCAGTCCAAGCCCAGTTTTCATTTATTACCTGGCTTGGCTCTCAGAAGAATGACAGCTGCTGCTCCCTAAGTTGCTCTAGAATCAGCTCCCAGCCCTCTTCATATTACTGGTCTACCTTTTTCAACATCCCACCTCCAGGTTACACACATCTGCCACCATCTCAGGCTCCCTGCTCACCAGCCCCTCAGCTCCTGGCCCCAGGGAGGTGACTGCCAGGTCTGTGCCACTGGGATCAAAGGCGTTGATCTCGATGCCCCAGTTGCTCTGAGGCTGGCGGAACCAGCTATGCAGCACTTGCTTGAAGTCAATGCTCTGCCAGTGGCCGGAGCGCGAGTGCAGCTCTATCTTGAGTGAGCGGATGCGGATGTGACGCCGGCCTCCGCCCCCAACCCCAGCAGCTCCTTCCCCAGTTAGGGGTTTCAGTCGCAAGATCTGCAGGTAGACCGTCGCTGGGCGGGGCACGGGCCGTAGGTACACCCAGAGCTGTGCCTTCAGTACCTTTGTGAACATCACCTTGGGGCTGAAGTGGAAATGGCAGCAGAGAGGGCTGCCATCTGTCTGCACTGCGGGGTCCGCTGGTAAGAGAGAAGGGGACACGGCATCAGCAAAAGGTGTGTGTGCAGGGGTTCAGCAGTCCAAGGTGGCAGTGGCAAGTTGGACTCCTCAGCCTGCGTTTTCCAGTTCTTACCCTTCTGTACTGTGTCAGTGGTACCCAGAACAGTGCCTCCTCTCTCTGCCTTTATGGTGATGACTCTTATCAGGCCTTGCTGATCTGTACCCATTCCCTGATCCATTTTCCTTAATGCATAGGTTCCCATTTACCAGGTAACCTGCAAAGACAGTTATTAAGGAATTCTCCACCTGCAGCCTTCCCTTACTCCAACTCTGCCCAGCAAGTAGGGCTCCAACTTTTTCTGAACCTTTGATGCTCTTCATAGAAGCAAAACTCCTGCCACACCTGCTGGTCTCAGGTCACCTTGCCCCATTTCTTCTCTGTTTTGTCTGGTGGTCAGGTGGAGCCTGGCACAGCCCCCAAAACAGATGGCCTCAGAGAGTGCATAACTGAGGGTCCAGAAAGGGAGCACAGGCTAAATTTATTCCATGAGGTAAACCAGAATTCAGATCTAGGCTTCTTACATCATTCTCACTAGAAATAACACCCAGAAGAATGTAACTACTCAAGCACTTCTGTACATCTGACTCCCTGGGCCCTGGGCCCTGAGAGCAAGTTTCCTCAGTTACTTCCTCCTTACCACTATTACTGCCTCAGCTTTTGAGGAAGGGAAAAACTACCTATGTGTTCTACTTGCCCAAAGCATCAGGAATAGTGTTCAGCACACCAGATCACCTGTAGTCAGTCTTTTCTCCCCTGAGCTTCCTTAGGTTTCTCATTCTAGTGCCAGTAAAAGGGTTTAACACCCCATCTTGATACATTTTGCCTTCTTCGCCTTGTTCTGAACCATAAATTGACCTTTCTTGCATCTAAAATAGGATTCTCAATATCTGCCTCTGCTTCCATTTCAGCTACTCTTGGTTCCCCTTTCTAACCTCTTAATCAGTCAGCATCCCCTAAATCCTATTTCATTGGACAGCAATATCCATTTTCTCTCTAAACAGACTGAGAGGGGGACTCAGGAGTGAGCCCTGTTAAGTGTGATCAGGAAGTCTGGTCCTGATGTGCCATGCCCACGTCTTGTATTCTGCACAATCATGGAGGACCTGGCACCTTCTCTCCCATCAGCACTCCCCGACTTCCACCCCAGGAGGAGAAGGATCCCGAGGTAGGATGGGAAGGAAAGCACTTAGTCATTTTCATATATTCAGGACACAAGGTTCCTCTGCAGCCTCCTTTCTCTCGGTTCTTCTCTGAGGTCCTAGGACCCTGGTAATCCTCCCAGTTAGCCTCCTGCTGGAGCTGCAGTGATAGCACAGTGGGGTGAGGTTTGGGGAGTGAAGATGCAGACTGGAGCAGTGAGAGCAGGGAAGCTGCTGGTGAGATGTGGAATGACAAGCAACAATCCAAATGGCTGAGCACGTCTGACCAGCATAGCAGTTGTCTTGTTTACCATTAGGTACTAATCTCCGTGGATGGACACTGTCTATATTGTGTCTACTTTGCTCACCACTGTATCTCTAGTGCCTCCGATAGTACCAGGCAGTACTCAATAAATGCATACTGAATGAACTCCCTAAACTCCCAATCTTAAATTACACAGCCAAGAGCCTTAAAGTTCTTCCTAGCATCTAAACATGGATTTTTTACTACAATTGAAATGACTTTAATGACTGGTAAACCTCATTAACCAGTATCTGACCTTATCCACCAAACTTCCTCAGTGATACAGATAATAATGCTTGCTTCATAGGAGTGCTGTGCATTAAATAAGGGATGTGAAAATAGTTGTAGCTTGTCAATAAATGTTTATTATTAGTTTTCTAAGCATATACCCCTACTAGGCTGACCCAAAGCTTAGAGATAGGGAACTAACTGGGCACCAGGGCTCCATCCCCACCCCAGGGGTTCACCATACACTCTCCCCAAGTGGATGTGGGGATAGGATGAAGATGTCTGCAGAAAGAAAAGGGGAAGAGAGGGAGACACTGAAGCCTGGTGAGGGAGATTAGAGAAGAGACTGTTAGGGATGAAGGCAGGTTAGAAGAGATTGGCAAAGGAATGGAGGAGAGAAGTTAGAGGGGATGATCATGGTAGGAGGAGAAGAAGTAAGTTTGGCAGTTGGAGAGCACTGGGAGAGATGGGGGTGCAGAAGGAGTGGATGAAGGTTAGAAGTGAAGGAGGTAGCTGAGCCTGGTGGGGTTGGGGAAAGGATGGAAGGACACGGGGGAACAAAGGAGAAGCAGGTAGAGCCAGGGAGGGAAACAAGGGGCTCGAGACAGTTCCCAACGCACACAGACGCCTAACTCCCAAGGGTAGGGAAAGAAGCCACATCTGTGTAGGATTGATTGGGTTGGTAGCAGGCAGCCTGTCAGGTTTAGTAGGCGGCTCCGGTCTGGAGAGAGGTCATCCCACTATTTTCAGCAAAAGCCCAACCCCTTCTCTGCCCACCACCGCCTCCTCCCCCTCCTCCCCCTGCCCCCCTTACACACTCTCCCTCCCCAGGCTAGAACTAGGGGCAGGAGGTTGGGCTGAGAGGGCAGGGCAGGGGCCTCTTGGGGTAGGGAGGAGAGAGAAACTGAGGGGATGGGCTTAGCTCCCAGAAGGGCAAGGGGGCTGGGTTCCCAGAACGAAGCCTGCGGTGGGAGAGCCTGAGAGGGTGGAGGGAACTAGGGCAGGCACTGCAGCCTGAGAGGTGGGGGCTGGGGTCCAGGGCGAGGGCTGGGGGAGGGGAAGGAGGGGGAGGGGAGCGGAGGCCAGCTCTGCCGACAAACACCTCCCCCGATTAGCAGAGCACAAGTCTCTTATTAAAGCGGGTCCCAGGGGATTAGACTATAAAAGTCTCTTTTTCCTTTTTCCCCTCTCTCCCTCCCCTCTCCTCCGCTGCGCTCCCCCTCCCCCTCTTGTCTCTTAAAGGAGACGTACAGTACCTGGCCGGAGACCCAGTTCCCTAGTCATCCAAGTCCTGGGGTGGCTAGAGGACAGAAGTTCCACCCCACCTGCTGGTGTCCTTACCCTACCCCCGCTCAGCCTAACCTGTACTTCCCAATAGTGCATTAGGCTAGCTTCCTGCAACCCCATTACCGGGCTAACTCTGGGCTCAGGCACATAGGTTAAGGGATGCTAAGGGTAGAAAGGGGCAAGGAGAAGTCCGCAGCTCCCTTACCCGTTCTGGACCCTACACCATACAGACCAGAGTATCGTTTCCCTCTCTCTTTCGTCTTCCAGCAAACTCTTCTTCACAATGTCTCAACAACTCTGTTTCCTAGAACCTCCACCCCCGCCCTCAGTTAATCTCAGACCCTAGCTTCTATAAAGCAGAATCCTTAAGAACAGAAGGGACACTGAGGAACCAAGCCCCAGAGCTCAGGCCTTCACCACCACCCCAAGTTAGCTTCCTAGTCCTCTGAGTTTTCTTTTCTTTACAGCCCGCACCAAGTACTATGGAGTTAGGGTCTGCAGAAAAAACTGGTGGCATTATTAGGCACTCAGCCTCCCAGATGTACACCTGGGTTCCGTGCCTCTCCCATGGGGGTGAGCCACCAGAACGCCCCTCAGCCCCCGGCTTTTTATGACCCATCTGCCAATAAAACAGTCTCCTCCTGCTCAGAGCCATAAAACCAAACAGTGGTTGTGTGTGTTGGGGGGTGGGGGGTGACTTTGCCAAACCACTCGTTCCCTGGAGCTGGAGTGAGGGGAAACCTGGGTGGGGGTGGGAAGGGAGTCATCTGACCCTAGGGAGAGCAGTGGGAGGCAGGCTGGGAGTTGGGGTGGGGGTGGGGGTGGCGGCCGGCGTTGGCCTGGATTTTCCAGGCCATAAAATTTCAAAGCAGCTCGTATCTATTAATGTGTTAATCTTGTGTTTGGCGGGTTTGGGAGGGGGCTTGGATGCCTGGGTTCTCCCTCTCTCCCCGTGTATTTCTTTGGTTTCCTCCTTAGATCTTTCTCCTTCTCCTCAAGTCCGCTAGTGGGTAGGAACGGGTGAATGAGGAATGGAACGCTGTGGTCTGAGCAACCAAAGGGGTGCTATGGCCCCAGCGCAAGGGAGTTGAGTTCTCGGAGCTCGGTCAGTGACCAGCAGGCACAGCTTTTGCAGCCCATTGGGAGACCGGGTGTCAGAAGGCTCCGGGTGGAACGGACGCCAGCGGGGCTGTGGGGAGCGACGCGGGGCTCTGGGGCGTCACTCCGGGGAGGGGAACAGGAGCACTCGCTCCCCGCAGCCGGGTGGGCGCGGAGCGAAAACGAGGATGGGAGGGGTGGAGAGCGCTGCAGTCCGCCTGGACTGCAGGCCTTGAGGGTTGAGTGAGGGGCTGCCCCTCGCGTCCGCTACGCATGGGCCCCAGCTGCCGGACCATCCCACAAACCCAGCACGCGCCTGTCCTCACAACCTCTCCGTGGGCCGTACCCCGCACACATCCAGCGACGGGGCGTGCACGCCACGCGCAGCCTGTCGCCGTCGTTCGGAAAACTTACAGGGAGCAGCCCCCGCCTCCCAATTCGTCAAGTTTCCTTAGAAAAGGTTCCAGCCCTTTTCTAGAGCAGCTTCGGGAGCGCCCCGCTTCAGGCGGGAGGCGCTCCGTTTCCCGGAGCCCAAGCCGGTCCCCGCCGCTCGCGCCCCGCCGCCCACTTACTCTCCTGGGCCATGCTAATGACGGTCTCGGTGGTGGCGTGGTACTCGTCCTCCTCCAGGAAGTCCTCGGGCTGCAGCGCGTCGCCCTGGAAGTCGTGCAGGTCCAGGATCTGCTGCAGCGGCGGCGCCTTGGGCAGCAGCTGTTTCACCACCTCGCGGCTGATGTTGGGCGCCTCCTTGAGCCGCAGTTTGCTCAGGATCTGCGACTTGATGCTCTCCAGGCGCAGCTCGCGGCTGTGCTGCCGCCACACGCACACGGGGCAGCCGTCGGGCTCGGGCGCTGCGGACGCGGCCGGCTGGCCCGAGCGCTCCCCCCCGGCCCCCGCCGCCGCCGCCGCCGCGGGGCTCTCGGCCGCCTCCCCCCGGGGCCGCAGCTCCAGGGCGAGGAGCAGGAAGCCCAGCAGCAGCGGGGCCGCGAGCACCATGCTGAGGGGAGGGGGCTGGGGGCGGGGACGCCGGGCCGCGGGGAGGGGCGGGGGGGTCTGGGCGGCACGGGACGGGGCTGCCGGCCGAGGGGGGCCGGGGGCCGGGGGCGGCGGGCGCGCGGGCGGGGCGAGCGGGCGGCCGGGGCGGGCGGCTGGGGGGGCCCGCGCCCGGGCCAGGCCCTTTATAGCCCCGTCCCCCGTGTCGTCAGCGGCCGCGATTGGCTGCGGAGCCAACAAAAGAGGCAGCGCTGTCATCCGAGGCGAGAGGGAGCCGGAGAGAGCCGAAGAGAGGGAGGGAGGGAGCGAGGGCCCAGAGAAAGATAGAGAGCCTGGGTGGGGGAGAGACCCCGGAGAGACAGAGAGATAAAGGGGCAGAGACAAAGGGGGGTCAGAGAGGAGGGACTTAGGTAGAGAGACAGACAGCAGGAAAGAGACAGGCAAAACTGGAGGGGGTTAGACGGGGAGAATCGGGGACAAAGAGGGGAGAGAGACTTAGAGGGAGGAGAGAGCCTTGGCTGCACGGGGAAGAGCTGGACCGCAAGAGATCAGGGGTGCAGAGGGATGGGGACAGGGGCAGAGAAGCTGGGAGAACAGGGGCCGGAGCCCTGGGAAAGAGAGAGGGAAAGAAATGAAGAGCAGGAGGAGGGTGAGGGCCAGAGGACAGACAGATAGCTAGGGAGCTCCTGAAGGGGCAGAGGATCAGGGCAAGGTGGAGGTGGGAAGACACACTCCTCAGGGAAGGAGAGACAGCTCAGTGACAGAGGTCAGCCTTGGTGGGAGCACCAAGAGCCCAAGTGGAAGGAGGTGGAGGATTTGAGCCCCGAGGATACCCAGCTACCAGAGGTAGCTCAAAGAAGCTGCTTAAAGAAGCTATACAGGGGAGCTCAGGGGGTTCGGGAAGAGCAAGATGTAAGGATTGGACATGGAGACTAGGAGAGGAAGAGTCCAGGGACACTGAGAAGGTGGGGAGGTGGTGGGAAGCCTAGAGCCAGGAGGAAGAGCTTAGAGCTGGGAAGAGTGTGAGCTTCAAATTGAGGCTTGAAAAGGATAAGGGAGTTGGCAGGATGGAAAAGGCCGAAACGGGGGATCACAGGGGAGGAATGGAGGGAAGCAGGGCTGGAGATACTGTGCTTGAAGAAGGATCTGGACCTCTGGATTCCTAGCTATACTTTTGGACGTGCAGGGTCTTAGAAGTCTGAGAAGGGACTTGGAGTTGCAGGGGTAAGAGAGAGGTTTGCCCTCAGGTGCCTGCGCGGTAAACAGTGAGCTGCAAGGGGGAAAACCCAGGTGTGGGACCAGCTCTAGTCTTCAGGTGTGACCCAGGGTATGACCAGAGGGCAGAATAGAAGAGTGCCAAGGCACTGAAATGCTCCCGAGGTGCTTAACTTCTAGTTCTGGATACCCCTTACCAGTCCTTACATTCGTCAGGCTTATTTCTTGAGTCCAAAGTCCTGGTGGACAACAGACAAATAACCAATAGATAAAAAATGTTTGAGGGGATCAGGTCTCACTAATTTCCTGGCACACATGACGTTTATTGAATAATTGGATGAACCTTATTGGGCTCTTCCGGCAGAACAGAGGGACACCGGTTTCCTCTCTGGATTAGGGCCCAATAGAACATCTTAAAGTTGGTTTGATGGAACATTAGTCACAAAGACAGAGTTGTGTTGGGAAGCTGGACTGGAATTAGGGAATATACGGGGGCTCTAGGCATGAGGGAAAAGGGCTGGGTAGGACTTGGGAAGACCAAGCTGGGGAGCTTTAAAGAGATTATCTATTTCTGTGGAAAACAGGAGCTAAGACCACAGCCAATGGAAAAAACTTAAGACATCTGGTTCCCTCCTGTGATTTGGACCAGCACTTGGGTGTTCCAATATCTCATCAAGTTTCTTCATCTATAAAATGAGGATCACACTGTTCACCCTCAGCTGGTTGTGAGGATTCCATAGTAACCAGTCAGTAGTGGCCTTCATGGGTTCCTTCGCTGTGACTCACCTCTTTCCTTTCTGATCTCCCAGAGCAGTGATTGCCTTTACCACATATTCTGGCATATCTTGTTCTCCACAATGTTTCTTTGATATCATTTCCTCAGCAAAACTGCCAGCTCCTTGAGATCAGAGGTGTGTCACCTCCTCCTTCCTCAGAGGAGATAGCCCAGCCTTCACTTCCTCACCAAACATGTTTCTAGTGGTAGGGCTATGAGAGAGGCAAACATAAATGACTCAGTCCCTTTCCTCAGGGAACATACAGACTGGACAAGACACTAGGAGCAGAATACCGGCCAAAACTCCAGTCCAGATGCCTCTTTATCTCCAGCAGGATGTCCCCAAGGCACCTCAAACATGGTGGGTTAGATATGACAGAGAACTTCTCTTCCCCTGAAATGTGCCCCCATTCTGCTGTTTTCCATTCTAGCAAGTGACGTGGAATCATCCAAGCCAGACACCTGGAAGTAGCCTTCACCTTTTCTCCCCTGGTCATCTCTGAATCTTTGCAGAAGTTGTTGCCTCTTCCAAGAACAACTCTCCTCTTACTTCCACTGCTCCCAGCCCCCAGTTTCTTATAAATTTGGTCTCTCACTCAAATTTATTCTTTCTTCAGGTCTCAGTATAGATGACATTTTCCACATGTCTTCTAGGAGTCCGTTCCTGATTCCCAAACCTGGCGTAGATACTCTTCCTAGCTGTATCTGCACTGTTCTGGAAAGGAGTTTAGTCACATAGCTTCTAGACTAGAATTAGGATCCCTGGGTTCAAGTCCCAGATCTCCTCCCTTTTTTGGCTGTGTGAACTTGGCTCTTTATGTCTCATGTAAAATGGGGATAACAATAGGTATGTAGCTATTTATAAGGTTATGAGGACTAACTGCCCGACAGACAGTTCTAAATGACCTAATTAGTAATTACTACTATCCTAATTTATGACCCTCACACTAAGTGAAACCCAAGAGGGCAGGAACTTTTTAAACTAATCTATAGTTTATAACTTCTTGGAATAAAGGATGAATGAACCCTGCTAACTGTATCTGGCCAGAGTGGGGTTGGGCAGAGGAAACTGTGTATTTATGGCCATGAGGAGTTAGGGGCCTTTGCCAAATACGGAAAGCAAGAGTCAGCAACAACTTAAGAGACAGAAAGGATTTCCGCTTTGTGGCTTCCTCCGCGGGTTCCAGGACTGCCCTTAATCCAATGAACGGACAAGGCTGCCATCTGGTGGTAGAATCTGGAATGTTTGCTTTTTGGAGGTGGGATTAAAACCACTTTTGTGGGTTTTTTCATACTTTGCATATTTTCACTTTAAATTTCTAGTCCAAAAAGTTCTACATCATAATTCATCAAGTCTTTCTCATCTCTCCAACCACTCCTAGGTCTTGCCTCTTTTCTGAGTTCCCCTGGGCTTGGTGCTGTTGGGTTCCCCTGAATTGCAGGAACTAACGGGAGGTCCCTTTCAGGAGTATCAGGCTGCCAGCCGCCCTAAACCCAGTCCCGAAGAGAGAGCCCTGTTGTCTTTATGGAAAAGGAGTTTGGAAAGATCTGGACATGTAGATCTTTTCTCATCTTAATACAAGCTAACCAGGGTTTGGGGCCCCGCCCACTGTCCTGGTCTCCCTGGCAACGGTCCTCCAGCCAGGGTGCCGCTCTAAGGATGTTACCCGGGCAACCTTCAGGCCCGCCTCCTTCAAGGTCCAGACTGGTGCCTAGCAAATGCCCGGGTCTGGATCTGATCCAGGCGTTGAGGTCTGAAGGGTGCGGGCTGCTGGGAGAGAAGCAGGTGGTGTCCCAGGGGTAGGCGTTAAGGTTTCAGGAGCTACTGGAGGAATGACGTGCTTGTGTAGCCTCAGGTAGTGGGGTGGGACCCTCAAGAAGAAAATCGGCGGGTCCTGGGAGCCAGTCACCAGGGCGACCAGAGACACCTGGGCCACACTCAGAGCTGCTGACCCTAGAACGTAGGAACCGCTGTGCGGAGGAGGGACTCCTGCTGTCCCGCACCCCTCTACCACGCAGGCCACCCCGACCCCCAAACTGCCTTGTCCATTAGAGGATAACTCAGGATCCCCAATCCCTTCTCCTCTCGCTTTTTCCTCCTAAAAGGCTCTATTCTTAGGGTCAGTGAACTCGTTCCCTGGCACCACAGATCTTCCCAAGCAGGTGAGGGGCTGGTCATTTGAAGAGCAGCTGAGGGGAAGGGGGCTGCCCCACGAGGCTCTCTCCCCATCCCCTCTCAGCATAAGTCTCTGGGAATGTGGTGTGGAGAAGCTATTCTGGGTTAGGGGTTGGTGTGGTGGTGTAATGGACCCCTCCCAGGTCTCTGCCCACAAACCCTGAAGCCCCTGGAGAGAACCTCACTGAGTAATTACCATCCTCTCACACAACATTCTGAACCCTGTAATTATCCTGACTGGATCGCCCAACAATCCTGTTAACCTCTTGAACCCCGAGGCCCTCTAAGAGAACTTGGAAGTTGGGAGCACGGAGCCAAAGAGTTGGTGTTTGGGAGGAGCTGGTGGAAACAGGGTACAGCTGGGGAATCTGAGAATTGTTTGAAGTCACATCTTCCTTTGCTTCTGGCTTCCCAGAATCCCCCTCCATGCCCCCTCCCATCAGTTTTCCCTATCCTCCTAGGGCAGGCCTAACCCTCCATCTCTGTGGGCAGCCTCTTTCCCATCTTCATTCTTGGTCCCCACTAGATCTCCCATCTCTTTCTGTGTTTCTCACCTAGTGCTCCCTCTCCTGGCTCATGGTGAGGTCCTGCTGGGACCAGGGCTGGCCACATTGCCCAACTATGATGGCAGAAGGCACCACTCTTCCAGATGCTGGTCAAAGAAGAGGAGGACTGTGCTCAAGTCTGCTTTTCCAGGGAGTTCCAAACGCTTGCGAATGTGCTGACTCAGGAGGTGACAGAGCATGACCTAGGCTGCCCAGTGAGGAGCGCTGGTGGAACGCAGAGGGAAGCTGGAGGGAGGAATATTCAGAGGCCATCCAATCTCCAGGGGAGAGC